CACTATACATAGCCTTCATAAATTACGAGAAGGCGTTTGATTAAGTAGAAATATCAGCCGCCATGCAGACACTGCGGAATCAGGGCGTCGATGAAGTATATATAAACATCCTGGAAAAAATCTACAGGGGATCAACTGCTACCATAGCGCTTCATAAAGAAAGCAACAAAATACCAATCAAGAAAGGTGTAAGGCAGGGGGACACAATCTCCCCAATGCTGTTCACCGCGTGCTTACAGGAGATTTTCGGAAGCCTAGAATGGGAACAGTTAGGGATAAGAGGTAATGGAGAATACCTTAGTAACCTGCACTTCGCCGATGACATTGCATTGCTGAGTAACTCAAGGGACGAATTGCAACTCATGATTACGGAGTTAGACAAGGAGAGCAGAAAGGTGGGTCTTAAAATTAATCTGTAGAAAACAAAAGTAATCTACAACAACCTCGGAAGATAGCAAAGCTTGGAGATAGGTAATAGTGCACTTGAAGTTGTAAGAGAATATGTCTACTTAGGGCAGGTAATAACCGCGGAGCCGAACCACGAGATTGAAGTAACTAGAAGAATAAGAATGGGGTGGAGCACATTTGGCAAGTACTCTCAAATTATGAGGGGTAGATTGCCACTATCCCTCAAGAGGAACGTATATAACAGCCGTATCTTGCGGTAGTTAGCTAAGGAGCAGAAACCTGGAGACTTACAAAAAGGGTTCAGCTTAAATTGAGGACGACGCAGTGAGCAATGGAAAAAAAAATGGTAGGTGTAACCTTAAGAGACAAGAAGAGAGCAGAGTGGATTAGGGAACAAACGGGGGTTAAGGATATCATGGTTGAAATCAAGAAGAGGGAATGGACATATGCCGGGCATGTAGCGGGTAGACAGAATAATCGCTGGTCAATTAGGGTAACTAACTGGATTCCCAAAGAAGGCAAACGGGTTAGGGGGAGCCAGAAGGTTAGGTGGGCAGATGAGATTAAGAAGTTTGCGGGTATAAATTGGCAGCAGCAAGCACAGGACCGGGTTAATATGGGAGAGGCCTTTGTCCTGCAGTGGACGTAGTCAGGCTGATGAAGAAGTTATTGGAGCAGCTTGCACAACAATAGATTTTGTAGAATACATGAACCTCGTAACAAAACAAGGGCATGGGTGAGTAGCAATTAAGGATGCCATGTATCTCATAACAATCCTTGACTTGAGCATATACCAATTTTGATGCATGAATATATCGTGATTAATTGCTTGTTTGCCCACTGTTTTTAGCGCATGCCCATTGTAGGTGACTACTCGCCCATTATGGGGCATTCTATAGGATAGGAAATAAAAGTAGATGTAAAGCTCTAACTAAAAAACAGGTGAAATATTTCACTATGAATCCAAGAAATGAAAAACGATATAAAGTGCCAGAAACTAATCTAGTTGGTTACTTTGAAACAATAATAAAATCCTCAATGACCGAGTAAGCATTCCCATGACATTGCCAAAAAAAAAAAGGAAGCTCCCATGGAAATTATTTCATGAATAAAAATTAGCTAGTTATTCTAAACATTACTTATAAAATGTTTTTATTTTCATATGGAAGCTGGTGATAGAATAAGGCAACACAAGAATACATTAATTTCCTCATTTTCTGTGCAGAATGAACAAAGCTGGGAATGCACCAGAGCAGTACTGTACTGACAAATATTTAAGTAAGGCATCGAAAGTGTGAGGCGATCTTTGATTCTTCAAGTTAGAGATTTCCGAGCCAAAAAAAATCGGCATAATCAAGTATCTGCTCCAAAGTGCTGATGAAATAATTCTAACTAAAAGTGACCTTCAAGAACAATAAAATGCACCATTTCTGTAGCAGGTTTTATAGATTAAAGGTTGGATTTATAGATGTAACAATAACGGCACTGATAGTGTTACAGAATTTGAAGGTATCTTGCTGAGAAAACTCGACATACAAGAAAAAAAAAAAACATGTCTTCAACATGTCTTCACCTTGAATTGTGCGAGTTCTCCTATCCCCATTTTTCTCGCCATCTGATGCAGCCCCTCACAGCCAAAGGTAAGAGCTGAAAGCGCTGATGCAGATGAAGCCTGCGCATCGTTGTAGCCTGTTCTGCCTGGTATGCTTATTATCACTTATTACCATGGCAATAAACTGGGTGAAGCCACAAGCTAGTGAAAAGAGCGTTGGGGCAATAATTTGCTGAAATGATTGCACTGCTTGAAAAATGCTAACAAGCACTCAAAATGTGCAAAACAAGGCAACAAGAAGGCACATGAGTGTACACAAGCAAAGAGAAGCTACTCTTCTGTGAACTTTTTTTAAATGAGAAAAATGCTCACAGACCAAATAAGAAAGAACAGGTAGGACCCCTGCAGAGTTTTGCAGTTCAAAAAAGGTCCTTGCAATACCTTTCTAAATGTTCGCCGAGTGGGTGCATTAAAGTTTATTACATCACAAATCAACTGCCAGACAAATTTTTTGAATGCGTCATGAATGAGCGAAGCTCACACGTTTCAAGCACTTTTTCTCTCCTGTTGTACCAGCAGGCACGCTGAGAGCTGTGCAGCGAACAGATGTCAAGGGGGCAAGAAGCTTTGTCAGTTAGTCAGTGCATGCCATAAACTTAAGCACATTCCCTCTTTTTTTTTCCGAATAAGTGGCTTATCTACAGTGTGATTGCAAGCAAGCGCGAAGGAATGTGGTGGTATCCCGTGGCAGCCACTGTTACTGTGCAGCTCACTATACTCAAATCAGTTAAAGAGGTCCTGAAACACTTTTTTAAGTAATCACGAAATGGATTCACTAAAAGAGCTTATTGCCTCACGATTTCAACATCACGAATATTAAGAATCTGTCCAGTACGAGCGGAGTTGCAAAGAATTGTCGCACACTGCAATTGCATTCTTTCTTCTCTCGTCCCGGTGAATGTACTGGAGGGAAAGCAGGGAGGGATGGCAGGGGCAAATAAGATACGTCATGTACGCCTGATGACCTTGAGGACTTTTTAATTTTTTATTTTTGCAATACGCGGCTTTTTCTATGTGATCACACGCGCACGCGTGGACAAGTCATGGCCTCTCGCGGCGATCCCTGTAATGACCGAGTGCGCTATGTTCAAATCAGCCAATGGGTGATAGATGGCCTTCTATGCGGGATTTTTTAGTGTCTTTCTCTCGAGAGAAGAGAAATCAATTTTGAGCTGACTTTGATAATTTATTGTGAATTACAGGCCGTGTGCTGCACTATAATATTTGGCTTCCAGAGGTGGCACTATGATGACAGTGCCACCTCTGGAAGGATGGTAGGTGCAAAATTATCTGCAAAAATATTAACTTGGATCTTGCTCTTGCGCTACACAAGTTTTTGCAACGATGATTCTCAGAACGAGGCTGGTTAGAGAGACAAGTTTGGTGTACTGAAGCTCAATAGGTTGAATTGCAGTTCCGCTTGAAGCCTTTCAACAAGTCTAAATTGATGCTGTGCTTCTTCTTGTACACTCCTCTAGTTTTCCAGAGGAATGCGTGTCTTTCACTGTCCCTAGTTGTAAGTGCTGTGACAATTTTCCTCTGAATATGTATAATCTTGCAAAAGCCAGCTATTTTACTGTATTTCTCCACTTTCAGCCTTTCTGTTACTTCATTGTCATCTAAGCAGCTTACATTTTTGACGGTAGTTATTTCAAGCTAGTGGTAGTGAACAAGGTCATTCTCTCTTTATAGAGGGGTGCAATCTTGAGCACATTCTGCAACAGAATGGTACGCAACGTTACCAAAGAACAAGAGGGAGCAAACAGCCAATAGGTGAGCTCAGGCAATTCAAAAATGTTTTTGAGACATGAAGAAATATAGAATTATTACAACTTAACATCAATATTGGGAGGCATAACTTTTCAAAGCTTGAACTTGAAGAAAGCGATGACTGACAATTTATTTGTGTTAATGTCTTGATTCGGTGCCAGGTGTTTGCCACAATTTCAGGAAACTTTTCACATAAACTTTCCTCCACACATTTTCACAAACTATTAGCGTGATATTGGATTAAGCCAGGCACAAAACAGGTTCATTCAATTATTGACCTGAGCACTTGCGTTTCGATCCAATTGAAGTCACTCGGAGACTGTTGGATGAGACCGAACGGGGTCTCCATACGTTATGTGCCTGTTGCTTGCTTAGCAGATGACAAAATGATTGACGGCACTGCCTTTTATGGTTGCTGTTCTTACATCTGACAATCAGATGAACCTCAAAATATCTCATGAGCGCGATAAAATGTTCCATCATAGAACATGTTCGAGATTGCACCACAGCTTCGTCAATGCTATTTGCAAGTGTGTAATGCTTCCACAGCGCATTCCTTTCATTCTGAGAGATTAGCATCGTGGCACATAGCAGAGCATGATTTCGAAATAGCTGGCACAGATTATTATACAGGTCGGATGCTGTAATTTTGTGAAAAAACTAACATGCCTCTTATATGAAGCAACCAGCGTGAGGCTTCATCTAACTGCCAAGTAGGCCCTTTTGATTGTAATAATTTTTAAAATTTGTCAGCTGCATAATGGCTGCCGAAATACTATATTATAGTTCACGAGGGAAGCGATGCAGGCTTGCTAGTAGCACATCTTCAGTAAGTTTTCTTGTAGCGCCCGAAAAGGACAGAAAAAAAAGAAGGCACATAGCAGATCATGATTGATGCTCAGGGAGCGTTTTGTTTGCCTATATGTGCCTTCATTTTTTTCTGTCCTTAACGTGTGCTACAAGGAAACTTACTGAAGACCATATATTAGGTTACCGATTTGGTAGCTATCTAATATGTACGTAGGTACAGACTGACAACTGCTGTGTTATTGAATAATTGGAAAATGAAAGAAATAAAACTTCTGCTTGAGTAATACTGAGGAAAATCACTAGAGAAATGACACTGGGGTATTGAACAAAAGGTCCCACGTTGTGTCATGTCACCTGCACTGCACACAGCCTCATTAAAAAGTTCACAGCAGACACTGCATAAAGCCAATAAACTTTATTCATGCATGTTTCATGCTTAGAGTATGCAAGTGACAAACTTTTCTATCGTCAGGGTATCTACATTCACATACGCAACCGGTGCAGCAACACAGTAAAATGGTGCCCTGAATGAACATAAGCTGGCATTTCTGAGACAGTCCCAGCTATATTGACAAACAATCACAAGAATAAAATTGGTAACAAATATTTCCATAAGTCAGTTTACACTTCAAACTTTTATGTCCTATAGGGTGCTCCGTGAAACAACTCTGGTACTTCTCTAGTCTGACATTCCCTCTAAAGTTAATGTGCGTTTGCATCAAGAAGACACTTGGTTGTTTGCAGAGAAAATAAAAATAATGTTTCTCCTTCCGAACTTCATACCTCAACTTCAGCATTTGTGCGTTAGACTGATGTCATCACGTCAAAGTACTTTTCACATTTTCAGCTCCTTTTGTACAGAATTTTCAAAACCTAGTGGGTTGTGTATGATTCCTTTAGAATGAGATATATAATCTTTGCTTGTTGATAAACTCCTACAGTAGAACCCCTGCAATACATTTTTTATAGGACAGCCAAAAAAAAAAAAAAAACACAGTAGCTGAGAAAGCTATTATGCAAACATATAGTTAAAATTAAAGTGCTACTAAATAATGAAACACGTTACACTCAGATTTACCCGGAAAAAAATTATTCGTCAGTTGATGGAAGTCTGACATCTCTATTGCATTTCTGCAGACCCAAAAAGTTTTGAGCATTTAAATGGCCCTGTCACATCACCAAACTGATTGATGGATAGGTGTTGTCTGTAGATTCATTGCTGAAAGTGGATGCCTGAAATGTTTCAATTAGGAAAATGTATATGTGAGGAATGTATAAGTGGGGTTCACGGTACCTCTTTTTAAGAATTAAAATTTTTAAATTAATTTTTTTGTAACTGTAGGGACTTTTTTGTCGCGAAACCACGATAAGATTAGGAAAGATGTCGTAGTGGAGGGCTCTAGAAATTTTTACCATCTGGTGTGCTTTAACGTGCACTCAAATGCAGGTACACGGGGCTCTAGCATTTTTCCTGCATTAAAATGCAGCTGCCACGGCTGGGATTTGATCCCACGACCTTCAGGTCAGTAGTCAAGCACCATAACCAATAGACCATTGTGGCAGGTGATATTCTTGAGAAGATGCTTTGCATATATATATATCAAGAAGTCATAAGAACAAGGTGTGGAAATTCAGTTTCATCCTTTTTTGAATATGTTTTCGGGCTTACTCTACTAACAGTCAGACTTGCATTTCGAGGGTTCCAAAAATGCAAGATGCTGGTCAAGCTTAACATCACTCTTTAATTTGCATTTATCTTCCTTTTTTTTTCATAATCTTTCTTATTTTCTTCAGCGAAAAAGGTGAGCAAAAATTGTAAACTAATGTGTTGAGGAAGTGGCAAATATCCGAAGTGGCAAATATCCATAGGTCTTGTAACACTGGTTAGCAGCATTTTGCTGCCTCAACAAACAATATCAGCACAAGAACAAACACTCGAGCCATCTAAAATTCCTGCCGATGGAATTCTTTAACTGGATAACAATCCTGAGTTAACAAGTCATTAAAAAGCAATCTGCCACAAAATGCAGGAGTTGTGACCTTATATCCTAGAAGAAATAATCAACACACAAAAGCAGTAATGAGGGCTTTGCCACTGCTTCTAGCAACAGAAAAAAAAAGACTATACAAACACACTGTACATGTTCTAACATAACATTAGTTTCATTCTAAGAATAAAGACTAATGAAATGGTATAAGTGACGGCACCCTGTTGAATGCTCATAGCCTTAAAAGCGCACTTTCTCATGGATGAAAAACCTCAGTAAAATACAACTGAAGGCCATGCATTAGGCGAAATAAATTATGTGAATAACACTCCAGAGGGACATCAGGTGAGCACCTGCAAACATACTGTTTATCAGTTTATACTCCAGAACATTGCATTGCAACACCTACAACAAAGGCTTCATTGTGACACTCTTACCAGACTTATCTGCTATAGAAAAAGCCTGGATGCTCCAAACACACAATTTTAAGATTGAAGTTTACAAACAAATTGAATAAATTTTAATGTTTTGGCTCTTCTAGCTGCCAAACATGAGCATGTTTAAATACTTGCACAGCCAACATTGCATGATGGACCTCTGGAGGATGTAATGTATAAGAATGAAAAAAATACGGCAGCAAGCGAGCTGAAACATACTATCGCCTATTCCAATGCCCATGACCCATTTCTTAAGACCTAGAATAATCACCAAGGTAGAGGCAGTATATCAAATGTATGTGGGCGAGTCTTTCAGCGACTGACTACATGCACTGCAGGACAATGCTTGACGATCATTGACAAGCGTGCATAAAGGGCACTGCTTGCCGCCAGAGAGCAATGGAGTCATCTCTGGGCCCAGGTGCTTGCTTTTGCTGCACATCTCGCACACGTCACGCTCTGGCGCATTGAGATATGTGCATGCCCCACAGGACCATATCTGCTTCTCACTAGCTGCTTCCTCTGCCTCTAAGTAGCGTTGGGAGGCCTGTACCACAGCAGCTGCATCGAGACAGTCCCCAGTGCTGTCAGGATGAGAAGGTAGCCTAGCATTTGCCATGGCAAGGGATGGTTCATGAGGCATGCCATTCATTTCCAGCCCACTCAGCTTTGATCCCAGGGAAAGTGATCTAAAATCTTGAGACAGATGGCCAGTTGCATCCCTACTGCTGCCGCAGTCCCCAGAGTGGCGTGATAGACGGCTAGGCATATCTGCAAGCACTGGGTAGCACTGTTCCCCAACCAGACCGCAGTGCAGAAAAGACCGATCACCAGCTCTTGACGCAGCGCCAGGAAAGTCGTAACCACTGGCAGTACAGTAACCTCCCCAGGAGCCAGCGGAAACACCGTAAGCATCTGCATACGAGTCACCATCAGCTACAGTATTGCCCAAGACATCTGGACTGCCCATTACCAGATCCTGAGGATGTCTGGCTGCATGCAGTGAAGCTCTGTAACCTGATGCTGTGTGTCGTTTAATATCTGAAGTATCGGGAGCTGATGCCCCAACGTGTGATTGCCAATTGGACGATGGCCAAGTGCCATTGGAAGTCATTTGATAATCGCTAATCGGTAAATCTCGCCACGATAAACAAGGCTCATTTGCACTGAACGCTGGAATAGGCTGCTTGGAGCTCTTGTATTTATGCTTTTGCACCAGGCTTCGAACGGCATCCTCGGGATAACAGCTGCAGTCTCGCCGAAATCTGTATATTTCTTTCCAACTCAATGACAAGCCGCGATCCCTGATACCATCCATTATAGCTGCCAGCACCTGTAATTAGACAAATGAAAATTAGTTTCAATGAAAACCATAACTGCTCTGATCATTTAAGGAAGATTAAACAGTGCAAAAAGACAAAACACACAGAAAGAGACACAAATATGTCTTCCTGTATGATCCATTTTTTCGTGGTTTTTATCTTTTTTAAGTATGAACCAACTAGTCCTGATTACATTATAAGATTTCTATAGAACTGATATACACTCATTTATACTTTGTGACATATAATGTGACAAAATTATAAACCACGATATAGTCTAAACTGTTCAGCTTCAATAAAATGTATATAGAAATTAAACAATAAAATGACAGAAGAATGCATCAGGGCAAAGGTCAATTTTACAGACCTTCAGGTAGCAGGAAAAAGGTCTATGTTGTAAGTTACACAGCTGGTGTCATATGAAAACATACGGAAGCTGTGTCTACCTTACGCCGACCATATTAGAAAGCAGTCTGACATATATGCTAGTTATCATGACACCAATTCAGGTTAATTCCTGTTAAATTAATAAATGATTCCAGCCTTCCATAGGCAGATATGTTTGCTGTGCTGTTGGGTACTGGTAGAGCATTGATATGCTGCAGCCACCAGTTGTGTGACTCGGGTTTGCATTCAGGTTAGGAAACCTTTAGGTATCGACGATAAGTGCATAAGAGTAGGAGTAAAAAAAATATTTACATCGTGCAGCTAGCATGCTTCTTTAAAGGGCACTCAGAATCTTTCCTTCAATTTCCTGGATCACTTGCTAGGGAAACTCGCTATCTATATATTGACAGTAGTTACAGCTAAGAAAGTGATGAAAATACCCCACCGCCACAAGGGACCAGCTTTGTAGCTTAGCATTTTGTTGCTCAGAGTAAAGAGAATCAGAATGCCTCGGCTTCCTCAAAGCAGAGGAACTCAAACAGTGTCCTTGGTCCTAGACAGGACCAAGGACACTGTTTCCTTTAAGCAAATACAGAAGCTCAAGGTCTTTATGGGAAGGGCAGATTGCTTTTCGGCAAAGGTAACTGTAAAATACACCTCCACAAATTCACACTTTCTATTTTTCTAACATATGCCACACTTATACTGTTTCTTATCACAGAACATATGTACATGTATCTGTTTCAGAAGAAAAAGGCATACTTTAGAAGAGCTATAAGACAAGCAGTTTCAGATGCATTTAAGTGCTCTACAAGTACAGAACATATATAAAACCTTGTAAAGAGTGTACAAATGTACTAAAACAAAAAATAATCAGCTAAGCAGTGGGATGTTTTCCACGAGTTCGGCGAATGAGTGCAGACTATGTTAAAAGGAACATGCTGTATTGAAGGATAAGAATACGAGACAACACAGGGAGGCCAAATGTGCAAGCTGCAGTGTGGCTATGAGGCCACCACATCATTTTTTTTTTAGTAAGGTAATGTTTATACAAGAATGGATGTTTTTTTTAAGGTCTGTATAATAGAGCACCAAAAGTCCATGTCATGGGGCACTCTGGAATGGTGGCCACTCTGCGTGCAACATGCCCACGTCCTGTGTACTTGACATGTCTGTGGTGTTGGAGCTATAGTGCGTGGTGCCGCAAACTCTGAATCAGGTCTGCATCCTCAATGTGCATCTGCCACAATCAACTGGGACATACTGCGAGCAAAGGGAAGGAAAATGGTAGGCGTAACCTTAAGAGACAAGAAAAGAGCAGAGTGGATCGGGGAACAAACCGGGGTTAAGGATATCATAGTTGAAATCAAGAAGAAGGAATGGAAATGGGTCGGGCATGTAGCACCCAGACAGGAAAACCGCTGGTCATTAAGGGTAACTAACTGGATCCCCAGAGAAAGCAAGCGGGTTCGGGGGAGACAGAAGGTTGGGTGGGCAGATGATATTAAGAAGTTTGTGGGTATAAATTGGCAGCAGCAAGCACAGGACTGAATTGACTGGTAGAACACGGGAGAGGCCTTTGTCCTGCAGTGGACGTAGTCAGGCTGATGATGATGCTTCGTGATGACTGCGGTTAACTGCTTTTCACCTTGATGCAGACTCAGAACAACTCGATGTACAGTGATTAGACAGACTGATGAGCTGCGTCATGGTAAATGAACACTTGTACAAGAATTGAATTTTGATGGTATATGCACTGTATGTGTAACTGCCCACAATGGTGGGGAAGTGTAAAAATAGTTCTGAAGCAAAGTGGCACACTGGGCAGGCTAGCATAGATTCATGGCAAGACAGCACACGAAAAACAGGACTAAGAGAAGAACACATGGGACAGGCACTGAATAGAGTTTTTATGGTATATGTATGCACTGCACATGGTGCTACCCACCATTGTGGGGGAGTGTAAAGATTGTTCTGATGTAAAGTGGTGCTGTACGGGACAGCACCTGTTGTGTGTTCTTCTTAATTGATCAGCAAACTGGGAGCACGGAAGGAACACACACACGTAACAAAGAGGAGGCACAAAGCACAAGCGCTCCATCGAGCCCACCATTCTATCCTGTAGCAGTGTGTTCTTCTTTGTCCTGTTTCCACACACTAAGTCTTGACATAGAGCTTGTTGATCACATCTCGTAGCATAAGTGTGTAGGAGACTCTGGTTTTTTAAACGTCCTGAGGAATACTTATGAAGAATCCCTCTGGAAGGAGTGTCGGTCCGTGGGCTCATTCTGCCGTGCTAAACCAATGTACACCTCGCTAGCTCTCAAAGTTTCCAAGAAAATGAGTGGCAGTGCTTCTATCCTGCTGCACTTTCCTGATGTGAGTACAGTGTTCAGGGGATGATGAAAGCACTCAACCATTCTACTGCTAATGGGTTGTTAGTTATCCTGATGCAAAAAGCACCGATAATATGCATGATGCTGGCCAAAAGTAAAGATTTGTACTGCCTGCCATAGTCTGACATTATGACGGTGCACTGATGTCAGCAGTAATGATCGCTTTAGGTACCTCCGGCAATGGCACAATTCTGTCAATGCATGTGAGCAAAAAGATATATTCGTGGCTAGGTGGCAGTGGTACGACACTGATCAAGGTGTACACGGTCGAAGCATGCATCCCGTGGAGTGAATCTGGGGCATCGCCAGAAAAGTTTTTTAAGAGGAAGGGGGATTCAACTGTACTTTATGTGTGTGTGTCCATTTGCATGCTTGTACAAGGAAAAACTGAAATTTGGGCGAGGTTGAACCCCCGTAACTTTTCAGTGTAAACATTGCCAATGAAGTCGCAGCATGGTTATGGACCTTGTTGCACTGACACAAAATGCGTCCTATCGTCAGAAGCAGGCATCTTGATAGACATCTCGCAAGATGGAGTAACTTTCATGCAGCTTCAATTCTTGGATAGAATAGTTTGTGTATAGGGGAAAGTGTGGGGATATAGATAGGAGGGAACGAACGGCCATGGACTGCCTGTGTTGTCGTCGCAGGCAGTCTGGTGTTCTGATCCTTGACATCGCATCCCATGTTGTCCTAAGCTTTTCAGCTTTCCTTCATACTGGGTCACTGCCAGGTTAATGAATTCATCAGTTCCTTTCGGAGCAATGACGGCCGTTATAGTGCTTAGAAAACGGGCATCTGCCACAACACTGTCGCTCTCCCTTGTGTGGTGAATTCTGTCATAATCTTGGAGATATGTGCCAGTTGGCTAAATTCACAGGCCAAGAGTGTGCCACTGTTTGAATAGAGTAGTGCCTTATGGTCTGTTAAAATAAAGAAGAACAATGTTTTCTAGAAAGTGATGGACGCGTATGCTGGAGCAGGCAGCAAGCAGTTTGTACCTAAAAATGCTGTAATGATTTTCAGAAGGTATAAGCTCCCTTGAGAAAAGTGCAATCGGGCACCGTACCATGGTGCCAATAGTTATGCCTGATGCATGCACCACTGCACACTGTGGAATGCCTGGTCATGTTAACCGTGAGAGCTCAATTTGCTAAGGCTTGCTTGCTTTAGCGAAAAGCATCGCATGTTGCATTGCACAAAGGGAGGTTGACTGAAGATCCTTCTGTTGCCTTTAGCTGTTCATGGAACAGCTCTATGATTTGGGCGCACTTGGGACAAAGAGGTGTAAGAAATTTATTACACCGGGAAATTATTGTAGCTGACACTTTCTAGGTTGTCTACTAAAAGTCTTGTATAGCCTGCACATTAGATGGGTGTGACTGTACACCCTAGTTCGAGATGATGCGGTTCAGAAATAATGATTCCAGCACTCCATATTTACTCTTGGTTGCATTAACAAAGCCATTCAAATATATGCCAAAAAACAATCCTTATGTTCTCTTTGTGCCCTTTGTGTACTGTTCACAATAAGCAGGTCATCGAAACAGGCAAGCAGAAAATCGAGGCCTCATTTTACACTGTCGATGAATATTAAAGAACTTCTGACCTGTGTTGTGAAGAACATGTAGCAAGTGCAAAAATTTGAACAGGCGCAAAGGTGTAGTGATGGTCGTCTTAGGACACTGTCTAGTGTCACAGGTATCTGCTGGTTAGCTTACACAAGATCAATTTTCGAAAATATCGGGGTGTCATACAAAGCAGCCAATATGTCGTAGATGAACAGTGCAGTGTATTTGGCATATGTTGCAACGCCATTCAGCATCAACAGTCCACACAAGAATGCCAGTCACGATGATGTTTTTTGAACCATGTAAAGAGAAGATGCTGAAGGGATGGAATAAGATTGGATGATAGCCAATTAAACATTTGTTCCTGTTCAGATATGCTTGCCTACACAGTTCAGCAGAAGAAGTGATGCACTACTGTCGTGGTTCAGTGCGAGCTTATGCCCTGTAATCAGGCTGAGCTGCGTGTTACATGGTTTGGACCAGCTTTGTTCCACACCAATACAAGGCCAATGACTTAATTGGGCATATAGTTTCTCAAAGATTATGCGTGTAGTACGCAGGATGCTGCCTCACATGAATCTAGAAAAAAAAACAAAGCAATAAAGTGCCTCAAAAGAGAGGCCCTTGCTCATTTCACTCTTTCCTTCACTATGCTCT